AAAAATCATTGTTAACTTTGTCAGAATACTGAAGCTTGAACATCTCTTTACTGCAAACACAGAAGCAATTTCACTTTAAAGTGGCAAAGGGCAGAGTTTCTAATAAAAATGTAATTTGTAGCCTCTGACTGCAAAAGCTTCTAATATGCTAATTCTCCTTTCAGTCCCTGTAACATGGGTGAGATATCAGCTTAAACAGATGCAATATCAAAGCCTTTACTTGTCATTATTATTATTATTTTTTTCCTACAACAGTGTCTGTAAAATTCAAACACATTGGTAATAATGTTTCCCTTTTATCTCATTATCAAATTAGTTTTATACTGCCTCAACCTGAGTTAAATCACTTAACAACCATTTAAAAATCAACCATTAGATTGGTTTAAATTGTTTCAACAAGGCATTCCTGGATGCACAATAATTAACCTCTTAGGCCATCTTTGCTGGGTTTGGACAGAAGGGCTTCTTGAGCTGTGAGTGGTGGTAGTGGCTGCTGCTCCTGCATCCCACATCCTTGCCCTCCACACCAGTTTCATCCCCAGTTCCCAGCTGGCACTGCATGGTGTTAACGCCGATGGGACAGCGAGCGTGGGGCTTTGCAGGATGTCTGGGAAGGGTTTTCTAGGGAAAATTTCCCCACAAAAGAGTTGTCCAGTCCTGGCACAGGCTGCTCAGGGCATTGGTGGAGTCACCATCCCTGGAGAGATTTAAAAGCCATGTAGATGTGGCACTGGGGGACATGGGTTAGTGGTGGCCTTGGCAGCACTGGGGAGTGATTGGACTCCATGATCTCTGAGGGCTTTTCCAACCTTAAGAATTCCATGACTCTATGATTCGATCCTTCACCAAGGAAAAATTTTCTCCTTCTAATTCACTTTGAGAACGTGGTCTGTTCCCCAGGGACATGTTTGGTGCTGCCAGACACCTTCCCTGTCACAGGGTGAAAAAGCAGCATCAGCAGATAATGCAGAGTCAGAGACATCCAGCCCTGGGTATGTTGCTGGGGGACACCTGGGCTGTGCTCACACCCCTCCGAGCACGGAATGGTGCCTGTGCTGTGCAAACAGCAGGATGAGTTTCCCCATCTCCTTCACAGACTGCCGGGTGTAAGTGTAGCTCTCCTCAGCTTGGGAGTTCCTGCAGCAGAGCAGGATCCTGCCAGGATGTCAGCACACGAGTTTGGGATGTCTGTGCTTTTGGAAGTGGATTTTTGGACTCCTGGTAGAAATGAAGCAGATCAGTCTGCTCTTTTTCCTGCTCCTGCTCTTGCTCCATGCCCCCCGCTCCCTGCCTGTCCCTGGCCAGCTCTGCCTCAATGTTCCTTTGCTGACCCTTGTACCTCCGGTTTCATCTCACTGGCGGATCTGAGTAATCACCCAGCAGTGCTACTGGGAGCTTTTCCCAGTTTTTCCCTTACAAAGGTAACACACCTGGGGCTCACACTGATGCTGTTGTGGGGCCACTGTGGGATCTTGCTCCCGAGCAGGCTGCTGTTGATCCTGACCACCTGGATCCCAAGCACCCTGCCTGGATTTTGAGCACACTGCCTGAATCCTGAGAACACTACCTGGATCCCGAGCACACCACCTGGATCCTGCACTGGCTCTGATCCCATACCAGCTGCCTCTGGACTCGTTGCAGGGAGTCAAGTGCTTGGTTCAAGTCTTTTGGTTGTTTGTGTTTCTCTTGGGCAAATGAGGCTGAGAAAAAAAGCTGGAGGGACCAAAGCAATGTGTTCTCATGGAAAAAACTAATAGATGCAAACCACAGAGTGCCATTTGTGCTGGAATTCGGGGGCTGAGGGGGAGGACAGCACTGTTCAGTCACTGTAGATGACTTGGTTTTTTTCAGCTAGAGTAATGCTTTGATTCTATTCTATTGGTAATTAACCACTCTGAGAAAAAAACACACTAGTAAATTGAGAATGAGGCGCTTCAGAAACTGGATGTGGGTTCAACCAAGGCTGGCAGTCCCCTGCTGTTTCTTATTCCCAGGTGCAAATGCTTAGACCAACCCAAGGGTCAGTCACGGCCCCCTGACACCCAAATCTTGCCACATAAACCCAATACAGATGGCAGGAAACCCTTGTTTCTCTCCTGGCAGGAACGGTCTTGCGGGGCTCTCTGGCAGTCTGGCTTTAACTATGGAAATTCAGTTTCCTGTGCCTATCTCCATGTGGAAGCCACCAACAGCCCTGCTGGTGCCAGTACCTGGTGAGCCAAGCTCTGCTGGTCGAGAAGAGGGGCAGAGACTGGAATGGGTGGATATTCTGGCTACAGATCCCTGAGGCAGATCAGTCAGGGGATCCCTTGGACAGTTCACACTCCCAGTTTCCTGCACATTGAGGGCAGCAGCTTCTGCCTGCAAGCAGCTGTAAGTGGCCAAACCTTATTCCAAAGCTGTGCTGGAGCTGGAAAAGTTGACTGTGTGTTCTAGGGGCCCGCTGGAGTTTGAGGTCAGTTATTTTTACTTCTCTGCCTTGTTCTTGTTAGATGTTTGACTCGCTCTCAGAACAATGGCTCCCACCACACTGCAGCCATCGCCCTGTGCCACAGCTGGTCAAACCTCCTCCCATCCAGTGCCCAAGGGTCTCATCTCCTTGCTTTAGCTAAATATAGACTTTTCAAGCCCTTTAGAGAGCCTAATCCATACCTTTACCAAGCTTAGCAAGATGAATCCAGTGGCAAAAGCAGCTGACACAGCTTTGTGGGTAGAGGAATCCTCTACATTCTCTTACTCTGGCTCCAATCTACCAGGGTTTGTTTAAATTTTCTACTGATTAATCTGGTATTTTTCTGCTAATTTTTCTGGTATTTCCTACTAATCTGATATTTTTCTCTCTGTACGTACTGCACTCTGAAGACTGGACTGTTGTGATGATGATTTTTCCTGTCTGCAAACTTCAGTTTTCCGTGCTGTCTGCCCAGGGACACACAATAATTCTGTATTTTTTTCGACTAACTGTTTAATGAAAAATAACAGCCAAATCTGCAGTTGCTTTGACACATTTCTGAAATAATGACTCCTGTTCCTAGGCTGGACTTATATTGACGAGAGAGTCTCTGGCTTTGGTTGCAGAGCTTCTCTCAGCCTGAGCTTTGTTTTGGAGGGAGCTGGCTCCCACACTGGCAGCTGCAACAGGGGGACCATACCCAACAAGGTTTCTGGCAGGATCTTATTTTGACAAAACATTTACGATGGTAATAAAAAGGCTGTGTTTCTGTATCTTAGCTAGTTTGGCCTTTCCCAGCTTGGTTGCAGCTTTGGCTTTGTTGATGCTGTTCTGCAGCAGCAGGTGTGTCTGTGGTTTGTGATGGGGATGTTACACATCCCCGTGTGCCTCGGGGTCAGCAGAGCTTTGGGAGTGAGGGGTCTCAGTGCTTTTTAACGGCTGCCCCCCTGCCCCAGGTATGCACGTGTTGGTTCATGTACCCCTGCACACCCTGCTGAGGGCACCAGAGAACCCTGGGCTCCACAGAGCCAGGCAGGGGGGTCACAGGCATTCTATGGAAAAGGTGGGAGCATGATCATGGGTTATCCCTCCTTCATCACTGCACCCTCCTGCCTGCCAGCAGCCAGAAGGTCACAGCCTCCCTGCATCTGGACCATCACCAGGTGCTGGTGGTGCGTCCACACAATACGAATTTCTCCAGTTGTTGAACTCATATTTGGGCACGTTGTTGTTGTTGTCCTGCAGAGCTTGCACAGGGTGAGAATGATTTGAGAGGTTCTGTGAAGCATGTGATAGAACCAACCCACCCTGCTGCCTGGCCTGGGGGAGAGAAGCAACCATCCTCTGCTCTGTTTCCTACAGGGCAGAAACAGCAGCTAAACACTTTGAATTTCTGCACTCATTGCCTCTTGGCACTGCTGGTGGGATGCCAGGAAGCAGAACATGGCCTTATGCATGAAGATTGCATTGCATGACCCCTGCCCAAGCCCTTTCCCTGGCAGAAGAGCTGTGTCAGTGTTCTCTGCTGGCTGAGGAGCACTGAGAGGTGCTCTGTGCTCACTGCAGAGCACCAAAGGAGGCATTTCAGGTGGTAGAGAAACCCCTGGAGAGCTCTTGGTGTGATCCAGACTTGCTCATATTGGGGCTTAGGGTGCTTTTGTGTGTCTTGTGGGTGCTCTTGCCTAGCTAAGCTCCCACAGAGCCATGGCACAAGGGCTGCATCTCACAGCACCCCACTGAACCCTTTTCTCTGTGCTGGAAATGTGTCTTGCAGCCTGGGCTACTCCTGACAGAGGCAGCAGGAGCAGAGTCCTGTTTGCTCTTCCTCCACGGCAGGAACAGTGTTGTGCTGGACCCGGATTCTTTGAGGCTGCTCGGCCCTTGGACCATGCAGCAGCTTCTTGTCCTGGGGTGTTTCAGCACTTTGCTCTTTGGTTTCATTCCTCCCAAGCACTCTGTTCCCCACTGGATTGTGCCCATGCCCTGTGCCCCCAGGCTGTGGGTGATGCTGCCTGGGTTGAGCCACCCAGAGTGATCCTGGTGGGATCACCACACAGCCCATCCCCTTGGCAGCCAGAAGTGCTGAGCTGTGTGTCTTCTTTCCCTCCTCATCTTTCTGCATGGGAACAGAGGTGGAACCTATGGAAGTTGTGCACGTGGTATCTCTTGCCAAGATCACCCCGGTACCTCGCAGCTGCCCACACGTGCTTGGTGAAGAGAAGATGTGTTTTGTTCATCAGGTTTATGTGGGATGGTGCTGGGAAAACTCTGTGTGGGTACAAAATGGCAAAAAACCCACTCTGTGGGACACTCTGCTGTATTTTCATGGAGGTCCACAGTGGACTGATGGTGGCTTCTGGCTGACAGCTTTCGTAGCACCACATCAGGAGTGTAGGCTACAAAACCCCTGTCAGTACCAGTGTACAGTGCACCCAAACCTGGTTTCGATGGAGCCCTTGGCAGTGGCCAATGCACAGCATTTTCCTTGTTAATTGTGTGCTTCGAGATGGACTTGAGCTAATGTCATATTTACCTTCTTCTATTCCAGTTGTGTTGGTGTGGAAGAGGAAGAGGCGCCAGATATCGACATCTATCACTGCCCAAATTGTGAGAAAACCCACGGAAAGTCGACCTGTGAGTACCCGTGTGCGGCCAGGCCCTGACACACAGCAGGGGCTGTGTGTTTGGACAAAAGGACCTCTTATTTATGTCATTGCAAAAGGCCCTAAGTATCACGTGCCATAAATATTGGAATTCAAACCAGGAGGTGAAAATTATGTTAGTGGGAGGACATCATGGGTTGGATCTTGGAGCTTTGGCTGCAGCTTCTGCGTGGCCTCAGGCGTGTGTGTGAGCTCAGGCAAGGCACTCACCTGGAGAGCTGCAGTCCCCGGTCCCACAAGAAAATGAGCATCCTTCCATGCATGAATTGTGCCCACACTGAAGAATGTGGGCTAGAAAATCCCTGTGGAGGCAGCTAGTGCTAATACAGGGAGTTTTGGAAGCTACACGGTGTTTTCCGTCTGTGGATGAGAAGAGTAAGAAACAGTTTGTTGTGCTTGGCCTGGATATAGAACTGCAGCGATTTCTGTGGCAGTCAAACTTGTAGGATGCACTGAGGGTGCCAATTCTTGCAGTTCTTTCACAGAAGGTTCTCCTGAGTAAAAGTGACAGTTGATCTCAGTGGGAGTTTTGTCTGGGAAAGAACCGTGGGATGTGTTTGCTTTGGTCAGATTAATTCACAATTTCTTTCTATTATACAATGGCTGAAAAAAAAGAAAAGAAACCAATCCCTGTGAAAGATGAAATGCTTCACTTGAAAAGCAGTTATTGTAAATAAGCAACAGTGATGGGGAGGATCTTGCTGCTCTGCAACCCCAGGGCATCCTGCAGAGGAAGAGCTGGGTGCTCATCTGCAGGAGCCGAAGGAATCCTAACAGTCCCCTTTTCAGTATGAAATAAGGGATGGCTGGAAAGTGACTCCTTTTGTGTTAAAATTCAGCATTTTTAACCCAAGAAATTATTTGTGCACTGCCTTACTTGTTAAAGTTTAAAAAATTTCTAAGGGGAGAGGGGAGGAGCCCGAAATGTTTGCTTTGTGGGCAAAAATGGGAATTGTTTTTCCACTATGATTTTTTAAAAGTCAAGTGTGAACTGGAAACCTGAATGACCTGCAGCTGTTCCTGTCTCCCAGAGGGTCTGCCAACAACTGGGGTCTGAACAGGGAACCCACAAACTGGGAAGCTGGCAAAATGCCCCTTGGGAGGCTGGTTCTGAAAGACTTAATGAAATCAATATGTCCCTACAAAATGTTCTGGTTTAGAAGAATCAGCCTTTCTAGTTTTTGTTGGAAGATTTCTGGAAATTGGTCACACAAATAACCACAAATTGTATTGAAGTGAGTAATTTGGGATTGGAAAGGGTTGTGCTGAAAAGGGGGGGTGACTGCAGATGCTCCCAGGCTGTTGCTGACCTGGGACAGAAGCAGCAGCACAGGATCTCCAGCCTCTGTGAGTTCTATATAACATTGAGATGAGTCTGATACTTTGATTTCCTTCACATCATGTTGAATTATGAAGGATGAAAGGCACTTTTCAGTGCGAGGGAAAAAACCCAGACAAAAGCAGCAAAAACCTATAATCAGGAATTGAATATCAATTCTATAAAACTGGGGTGTGTCATCCTAGAATTCAAGAAATGGCAGTTGTGATAAAAAGATTGCAAGTTTAATATACCATTTAAGATGATGAGAGTTGAATGGACAACGATATTCTGATGCTTTTAAGAAGGTTTCTGTCTCTCCAGTTCTTTTTATCCAAATAAAAATCCACTGGTACGTCCCTGAGCCTGTGTCACACAGCCCAGCAGAAATTGCTGCTGGAGCACAGTTCCACCCTCTTCCATCCCAGGGACACCTTCCACTAGCCCAGGTTTCTCCAAACCCAGTCCAACCTGGCCTTGGACACTTGCAGGAATGGGGCAGCCACAGCTTCTCTGGGAAACCTGTGCCAGGGCCTCCCCGCCCTCAGAGGGAGGAATTTCTTCCCGACATCCCGTCTAACCCTGCCCTCTGGCAGTGGGAAGCTGTTCCCCCTTGTCCTGTCTCTCTGGGCCTTTGTTAAAAGTCCCTCTCCAGCTCTCCCAGCCTGGCTCCAGAGCAGAGGGGCTCCAGCCCTCAGCACCTTCGTGACCTCCTCTGGACTCGCTCCACGTCCTTCTGATGTCAGACCCCAGAGCTGGAGGCAGCTCTGAAGGTGGGGTCCCACAAGGTCTCCCTTGACCTGCTGCCCATGCTGCTGGGCATGCAGTGTGGTGGGAACACAGACCAACATCCCGTCCTGCAGGACAGCAATGCCACTTTGTTTTCTCCCTTCAAATACATCACAGGCAGTTTAACCATGTGTGAGACCAATCATCAAAGAAGTGGAGTGCACAAATTCCATTTAAACATTAATTAGTGCTAACCTTACCTTGAGTCCTGGAGACAAAGTCACAAGCTGCATAGCAATTCCCTCACTAACCCGTAGAATCCTGTGGAAAAAGGAGGCTGTTATCCTGTAGCCCCTCCTTGCAGGGTACAGCAGGCCAGGGAAGTTAAAAGACAGATGAAATGAAGGCAGGACCAACTTGGCTCAGTGCATTCCATCTGCTGGGAATTTGCATGCAGGGCACTGCCGGGACAGTCTGCGGGGGGATCGCTTCCATTTGCTTATGAACTGCCCCAGTCTATGTTTAAACTCGTTATCCAGCACTATCAGCTTTGTAATAAACGAGGAAGAGTCATTCCAGCACCAGGAGTTCACCGGTAGGATTTAATTATTGCGAGATTAGCAAAGGGAAACGCAGACACCGATTGTCTGTTATGCAACTCGTCTGGATTTAAAAATGGATGTGTATTTCTGGAGCACGCCTTCCGCCAGATATGTTTTCCAGATGTCAAATTTAAAAATCATTTTCCTCTCCTTACATTTTTCCACGTTACCACTGTGGTGAGTGGCTGCTCTCAGAAGATTGCTTCCTGTCACATGGCGTTTTGAGCTATTCCCTTTTAATGAAATGTGTAGGGACTCCTCTTTGGGAAAAATCATCCATATTCATACAACATTTTCTGACATCATTGCAATAAAATGTGAGGGCTTCATTTGGGCAGGCTTGGCTCATTTTCATAACACAATTTGAAATGCTTGGTTTGATTGCTGCCGTGTTTGCAGCAGGGAAAATCAGGAGAAATCCTTTGGAATCGGTGAAGTTACAGAGCTGCAACTGAACCAAAGTCAGACTGAGGCGTGTTTTAAGTAGTTACAAACTTTAATGTAGATAGTAGAGAACTCACAGCGTGCTTCTGGGTATCCCTGCTCTAGTGGAAGCACCCCAGTCTAGTGGAAAGTTCATAGAATCATTTAGGTTGGAAAAAACTTCAAGATCATCGAGTCCAACCTTTGACCAATCACCACTTTGTCAACTAGACCAGAGCACTGAGTGTCACATCCAGCCTTTTCTTCAACATTTCCAGGGATAGTGACTCCACCACCTCCCTGGGCAACCCATTCCAATGCTTGACCACCCCTTCAGTGAAGAAGTGCTTCCTAAGCATTCAATGTCATGATGCCTTCTACACTAAGACATTTGAAATAAAATAAATATACCTGTGAATTTTTAATTTTGAGATACAGTTTTCATAAAAATATATTCCCTTTTTTCCACTGTTGGACTTTCCAAAGGTCAAATTTGGATCAGAAAGTTCTACAGAGAGAGAACTCTGTGATCATTTCTGAAAAAGCAGCTTTTCTGGCCAAAGATGGAATCTGTTGCACATGGGAATGGGCCTTTAGTCCTTGCTGGGGTGATCATGGTAAAGATGAAGCACAGAAAGAATGGCTGAAAATAGGCCAAAGGTAGAGTGTTTGATGTAGTATAATGGACTGCAGCTGTCTGGGACACAACCCCTCCTGGAGAATGTTCATCTGAGATGCCTCTGAGGGAGAGGGGAATGGAGAGGTGGGTGGCAGGGGGAGATACAAGAGGTGCATGGGAGAGGTGGATACAAGAGGTGGGTGGGAGAGGTAAATGGGAGAGGTGGATGCCTGCCAGCACTCTGTGCTGAGGGGAATAACTTCCTGGAGGTTTTGGAAGAGTTGCAGTGAATCCCTTAATTCAGCTCTGCTTTGTCGCTTTTATTTCCCGACACTCCATGCTATCTGAGGTGTAATAAAAAACATGCTCATAGGATAAGCTCCTTAATTTTCCTTGTGATAAGTGACACCTCTTTCCCTGGGACTTGCACTCAGAGTGCAAGTGCAATCAACACGCTCCTGGTGTTGATTCCTATGTGCTGGGAGGGGGAGGAGATGGTGTTTGGAAGGGGAGGGAGAGGAGGAAGGTTTGGCATTCAAGCCAGGCTTGTTTCCTTTGTTACCAGGAGCATTGAATTAATACACTAAGCCTGAGAGTCATTAAGATAAAGAACTAGCAGCTTTAATGAATATCTCCAGCTAGGCTGGAGCCTGCATGGAACTAATAAACCCAACATGCTTTGTGCAAAACCTGGGATGGACTCACTGGGAGATATCTTTCCTTGAGTTATTCCAGGATTGTGGTCAGGAAAGCAAAGTTAGCTCTTTCCAAATCTCGTGTCTTATAGCTGTGGCCTCCAGATTCCTTTCCTAATGGAAAAGTGTGTGGATCTCTGTGTGTGTGTGTGTGTGTGTGTGTGCAAAGAGTGAGGAGCAGGTGCCATCTGTGAGGATTCTGCTGCCTTCCCTCACTGTTTTGGTAAGAGGTCTGGACTTGGGGTAAAATACTGAGATTCATGATGTAAAGCAAGGGTGGAAAACAAAAGTATGTTGTGACATGAAAATTCTATTAACAGAGGCTTTAAATTATATGAATATGGAAAAAAACAATTTCCTACCAAAATGAGTGGGAACAGCTGAGGGAGATAGTGCTGACTCAGGGAAAAAGTGGGACCAGTTTTTCCAGCTCTGTGATATCTGGCTGTCAGAGACAGGGCAGAACCATCGACACTTGACTGACTCATGTGCTTATTCCTGCTGGCCCTTTATCCATGATGGACTTGCCTGTGTGTCCATCCCCCACTGGGAGCACAGTGGAGGGGCCTCAGTCTGTCATTGCTGCAGGCCTGAGCCATAATAGCTTCCCTTTAAATCCTGGGAATAAGGGTTCTAACAATTGCAGTTGTGGTGCCTTTTCTCTTTTCCTCTTCTCTCCTCTCCTCCTCTCCCCTTCTCCCTTCCTCCTTCCCCTTTTCCCTTTCCTTCTCCTCCTCCTTCCCCTTTCCCCATCCATGCTGTGTCCAGGGCATAGCTCAACATCCATCAAACTCGATGTCAAATCTGCCACAGGTGGACAGATCTTTAGTCTAAGGTAATTCCTGACAAATATGTTGACAAAGATCCATTCTGCATGTGGAGGAAAGGGGCTTTCTGGGAGTTTCCTGAGGAGAATGGAGTGTGCAGGCTGGCGAGCCCGGGGTGTCCAGAGCCCATGTTTGCACGATGCCTGCAGGAGCTGTGCAGCTCAGCAATTCCCTGTCTGGTTGCCCTTGTGCTCCAAAACACACACACACTGCTCGTGCTGTGGTGGATCTCCAGGCTGCACTGGGATTGTCTGATGGGGCACTGAGAGCAATATTAGAATGTGCAGTGCAGCATTGGGGGGGTTCCCTCTGCTCTGCTCACCTGAGAAATTAAACCAATATTTGTCGTTCCTGCCAATGTTTTAATAATTATCTTCTACTTAACACAACTGTCCAATTCCTTCCTTTTCAGTGAAAAAGAAAAGAAATTGGCATAAGCATGATACTGGCCAGACAACAGAGGTGAAGCCTGTGCAGAACGGGAGCCAGGTCTTTATAAAAGAGCTCCGAAGTCGGACGTTTCCCAGGTGGGTTGTTCAGCTGGAATGGGCTGGGGGGGCAGTGCCTGTACAGCCACTGTCCTGGGAGGCTGGTGGTGGGCCTGGCTGAAAGCAGCATGGAATGATGATGTCTAAACAAGTGCTGTTTGATTGCAGATGTCCCAGGCTCTTCCCTTTTTTATATTTGTGCAGCTGTATTCAGATCTCTTCTTGCTTGACCCAGGTCCTGTGGCTTTCCATAGGTGCTTGGATTCCATGCAAAAAGCATGGAATCACAGAAAGGCTTGGGTGGGAAGGGACCTTAAATCCCATCTCATTCCACCGCCTGCCATGGACGGGGACACCTTCCAAGCCCCATCCAACCTGGTCTTGGACACTTCCAGGGATGGGGCAGCCACAGCTTCTCTGGGCAACCTGTGCCAGGGCCTCCCCACCCTCCCAGGGAAGGATTTCTTCCTAACATCTAATCTAACCCTGCCCTCTTTTAGTTTACAGCTGTTCCCCCTTGTCCTATCACTATCTGCCCCCGTAAAAAGTCACCCTCCCTCTCTTTTATAAACCCCCTTTAGCCACTGGAAGGGTCTCTAAGATTTCCCCACAGCCTTCTCTCCTCCAGGCTGAACCAGAGCATGTTTGACCCCTAGAACATCCACTTGCACAAGAGACTAACCCACTTACTGCATTGAATTATCCAGTTCTCAAAAATACTAATGACTTTGCTGAAGTCTGTCTCCATCTTGGAAAGAACAACGACATGCTCAGTTTCTGGGTGACAAAGGCTCTCTCACTGGGGTAATGAATAGTGCTAATTGTTGGGTGACATGTCCCACACGTTATTAGGCTGCTCCACAGCCATTTGCAAGAGTGATCATTTTCTTCTGGCTCTTTAATGTAGACCATAGCCAAATAAATCCTTAATTATTAATAACTAATTATTTTAGAAGAATCCTTGGAGACTGGCAAAGTGTACTTGATAAACACAAAACTGCTTCCTTTTTATGGAGAATTTAATTTCACATTTAATTTGAGATACTGGTCTTGGGCTGGTTAAGGAAAAAACTGAAAATAATTCTGAAGTGTTTTGCAGCTCTTACAGATGTGTCTCACTGAGCTCAGGATCCAGTATTTTTACTTGCTTGGCTTGGCTATTGTTATTGGGGCCTGCAAGATCTTTGTCTTAACTTTTGTCTTTATTTCTTTTTTTTTTTTTTTTGATTTGACAGGTTGCAAAGCCTATTTAGTAAAAGATTTCAGGCCCAGGCAGACTGATTTCAGTAACCTCGGGTGGCCTCTGAGACTGCACTCACACACACAATATCTCTGAGTCTCTCCCAAGTTGTAAAAAAAAAATAAATACCATAACCCCCCAAATTTTCTCCTTGTTTCTCCCATTAATGTGGGTGTAAGAAAATCCTGCTGCCAAATTGAAGTTTCTGAGACAGAAGGGTCTGTAGTCTGAAGAAGTGGCTGCAAGATGAGGCCTCTGACACCCACACTTGTGCCATCAGTGACACGAAGTCTTTTGGAGAAATTGTCTCCTCTGAAGAAAACGAGTGAGATGTGCAGGTGCAGGTGCAGGTGCCCAGACCAAACCCCAGCACTTGTCAGTCAGGGTGAAAGGAGAAAGGGGGTCTCAGACCAGAAATGTCGTTCCTGACTCCCAGCGCATGGTGGTGAATGACGAGCCCCGGTGAGTCCCTCAGAGGGGCTTGGGTCAAAAGGAACAGTGAAGAAAGCAAAAAGGCAAAAAATATAATTATTGCCATTCTGCCCTGGAATGTTTAATACCAAAATAGCATTAGAGTAGCAATAGTAGTAGGGGTAAACAATTCAATTGATGCTTCAGCGTAGGTACCAGCCTCTCGTTTTGCCCTAATCGTTGCTGCCTGCTCTGGCACCAATCTCTCTTTAAAATGATGTGTAGGTTCTGTGGCACATACAGAAGCCATGTGCCTCTACTCTGGAGCCAGGCTGGGATTGCTGGGGGTGCTCAGCCTGGAGAAGAGAAGGCTCCAGGGAGACCTTAGAGCCCCTTCCAGGGCATAAAGGGGCTCCAAGAGAGCTGGAGAGGGATTTTCAACAAAGGCCTGGAGAGACAGGACAAGGGGGAACAGCTTCCCACTGCCCGAGGGCAGGGTTAGATGGGATGTTGGGAAGAAATTCTTCCCCGTGAGGGTGGTGAGGCCCTGGCACAGACTGCCCAGAGAAGCTGTGGCTGCCCCATCCCTGCAAGTGTCCAAGGCCAGGTTGGACTGGGTTTGGAGCAACCTGGGCTAGTGGAAGGTGTCCCTGCCCATGGCAGGGGGGATTGAACAAGGTGGGCTTTAAGGTCCCTTCCAACCCAAACCATTCTGGAATTCTGTGAGCAGGCACAGGGTGAGGGGTTCCCCTCATGGTGAGATCAGAGGAGGGTGTGGGGTCTCTGTGGCAGGTTGGGTGTCACGGGGTGGGGAAGGTGGTGAGCTCAAGCATGGCAGCAGCCACGACAGCACATCCAGGCTCGTCCTCTTTCCTGCCCATTTTGGTGCTGTATGGAGATGTGAACTGGAGTGCAGGACTGCTGCAGGAGAGCACTCAGACCTTGGCCTTACCTGCCTGGGCAGGAAGGGCTTTTTGGGGAGAACCTTCAAAGTCTGACTGCTCCCAGCTGACACACAGCACATGGTGACAGGACACTTTTGGGACTGTTGGTCCTTCATGTACAGTCACTTTTCACGCCTGAAAAGATCAAGAAAGCAGACTTGAATTTCCCCTGGGAGCTCTCAGTGCCAATAGCTGGTGGGCCAATGGAGCTGCCCTTTCCTCATTCCCCTTGGAGCCCTCCCAGCCACTTCAAAATGATCTGCAGAATATTTCCCAAGCAATTTATTCAACTTCTTTAAAATGATTTGCAAAGTATTTCCAGCCCAATTTATTTGATATTAGGTAATGTTTTTAGTCTTACCTTCTTTAGAGTGGAACATTTAACACTAATTCCTTTAACATTGATCACCAGTAGCTCAACAGATCCTACAGCTGAAGAAAACAGCTTTTTGCCACAAGCTGTTATTTTAGGAGTTCCCAGTAGCCGGAGCATGAGCCTCAAGACATTGATTCCGGATGATTCTGTTGTGCTCTTCGTGCTTTGCAACATATGACTTTTTGGCTTTTGGCTTCTGAGCCTAATTTGTATGTAATTCCTTATCCATATTGCCTTCCTTTCAGTAGTGGCATGCAGATCATCCCAATCTGAGCGTGGAAGCCCCTCACCATTGCCTCTGTTTGGTTTTCCAGCGCTGAAGATATTGTCGTGAAGGTCCCAGGCAGCCAGCTAACACCAGAGTATTTGGAAGAGAATGGCTTTGCAGAGCCCATCCTGGTGCCCAAGAAGGACGGGCTGGGCCTGGCCGTGCCCGCTCCCACCTTCTACGTCAGCGACGTCGAAAACTACGTCGGTGGGTACCTGGGAGAGCAGGTGGCACTGGGCTGCTTGGAGCCCAGCTGCTGCTTTTAAAAAAAATAACCCATGAATTGTATAAAAAATTGTAAAATATATTGTAAAATATTGTCTATGCCCTGGCTGTGCTGGCTGCAGTGTTTGTTATGTAGTGGGAGCCTGTAGTTAGCAATGAACTCGCTGTTGTTTAGTGTACCAGCTTGGCACTGGGGCTGAGCCAGGCTGCACTGCTCTCCATAGCTCTGCACTAAAAGTAACAGCCACAGCAGGATCAAGAAATGGTTTCTGGAGGCCAGGACTTCATTGATTACTGCCAGCTTGCTTTGTGTTGAAAGAACAGCTACACTGCAGCTCCCTCTGCCCAGGCAGCCCGTGTTTTAGCAGTGATGCCAGTGAGAGCTGTTTTCAGTGCTGCTGGTCATTTGGATTCTCTTGGCATTCTCCCATCTCTGCCCTGAGCAGGGTGTTGTGCTGCATCTTCTCACAAGCCATCACCTCATCCCACCTGGGAAAACAGACCTTGGCCAGAAGCCATGGAAGGGCTCCAAAGTTCCTTGTCTCCACATCCTTCTTCCTTTAGCACATGTGTCTTGTCTCTTATCCTCTCGTGCTCTGTCCTTCATCCATGTGTCTCTCCTTCCAGTCTTCTGGCAAGGCAGTGTCTCTTTGGAGCCATCACTGCAGCTCCAGTAGATCCATCTGTGTTTCATGGTCCCTTCATCTTCTTCCACAGCCTGCTAACCACCCCCTCCTGCACTCCCTTACCCAAACATTGACCATTCTCCAGACTGGAGGGTGCCATGACCAGCCACTGCTGCTCTTGACCGTAACTGTTGGATCTGCAGTGAGAAAACAGTGAATAAAGGAGAATCACAGAATCACAGTATCAATTCAGTTTAGAAAAGACCTCCAAGATCATTGAGTCCAACTGTTCCCCCTGCACTGCCAAGGCCAGCATTAACCCACATCCCCAAGTGCCACATCCACAGGGCTTTTAAGTCCCTCCAGGAATGAGGAGTCCATCACTGCCCTGGGCAGCCAGTTCCAGTGCCTGGAATACAAGACCCCTGATGTTATCGTTACCTCTATTCCCTTGCTTCTACAGGAAACATGTTCTGTGCCCACCTGCTACGCTCAGCAGATGTTCTCCTGTGCCTGAGGTGCTCCTTGGGCATCTGCTGGAGCTCTCTCAGCCTCCAGCTGAAATCATCCCTCCCACCAGCAGGACTGTGAGTCCAAAGCTGGAGGGAACAACATGGGTTGTTTAATCTGAGCTGGCACCACATTTGAGTGAGGGGCACAAATCTGTGCTGGTCCTACCTCTTTGGGGTCTGCTCACTGAAGTGGGGTTTCCCAAGCAGGGATTTATCTTGCTGGTTTGTACTTAATTGCCTTGGACCTGGAGTGTCTTTAGAAACATCCTGAAGGAGCAGAGGACAAACCACCACCAATGAGACTGCCAAAGACATTGTTATATTCTGGCATTTCATGAAAAATAAATTGATTTTTTCCCTTTCCTAATGTCTTTAAAAAGCTCTGAATGTCTTTATAAAGCCCTGCCTTTCTCTGTGTGTTCTCTTTTTGCCCAGTGTAAAATCCACTGATTAACTGATGCTGTTAGTATTAACATCAGAGATTTGTGTCCCACAAGGTCTGTCAGAGGAAATGTGTAAGGACTAGTAGATCATCCCCGTACTCTGATGCAGAGGGGATGGGTTTTTGATGTGTAATTTTGGGTAAAATAACAAAAGGTCAATTTTTTTTAGTGGTATGCCTGAAATACCATGGTAAGAAAAGGGAACTCTTCGTTGATTTATAGGTTTTGTAAGGAAAAATTTAAAATAGAGCATAAAAGAATTTGGAATTCTGGAAAGTCAGTTGGTGAAGATATTGCACTTGTACAGTATTGTGATAGTAATACTTGTAGTAGTATAGTGTTACACCCTGTCTGCAATCACAGGACCTTTATAACATGGTGGGGAGGGCTTGCTCCAAGGATACAAAGGTATTTGCATTTAAATTTCACTCAGCAAATAAAATCCATAATGAAATTAATATATCCAAAATAATGTTAATCCTTTAAAGATAAAAGCTACAGGAATAATTATGTCAGGGACATGACTACAAAAGTTTTATGGATATTTCCTGTCTTCCATGCATGTATGTCTATGTGGGTGCATACATAAACAACAGGGAGGGTACAAGGGCTGAAAAGATCAGAAAATCAGGAGATTGGGATGGTTTTGGACATATTAACTCACCCCCCAGCATAGAAAATGGGGCAAGGTGGGCTGCCCATCAACCTCTCTCTTTCATTGGATTCATGTGCAGGCCCAGAGCGGAGTGTTGATGTCACTGATGTCACCAAGCAGAAGGACTGCAAGATGAAACTCAAGGAATTTGTGGATTACTATTACAGCACAAACAGGAAAAGAGTCCTTAATGTCATCAACCTGGAGTTCTCTGACACCAGGTAAGGGTTCAGCCTGCCTGTAATTACTAGAGATTTATTTATAATTTACGTTCAATTTATATGTATATTTATATAAAATACATGTCTATATATAACATGTTTCTATATAATAATATGGTTGTATATATTATTTTTGTCTTTATAATTATATTACAATTACTTATAAGTAATTGTATTACTTATATGGAATTATATATAAGTTCTGATTTAAAATTCCTGAATCCCATGCTATGTCTGGGATACGTGGCAAGGTTCAGCGGGGCAAGTTTGATCAGTGTCCCCAGTGCTTCCCTCGTTAGGGATTGCTCTTTAACCTTGGGATAGAAGCTTCTGGTTACTCCAACTCTCCCCTGCATCATCCATACACAGCCAGTGGAGGCACAGCACGGAATGAAGGTGCTCTTTGCTCTGTGAGAAGGGTACCAGTGATGGCAGCTCAGCCCTGTGTCACCAGCATTCATGTGTCAGCAGCAGCCATGTGTCACAGCAGGACATTTGGGCACCTTCCAGCTTTATTTCAGCTCCAGTAGTACAGGCACAGTTCATCCAGTGCAGCTGTTTGCTCAGGCATAACTTGATGCTCCAGGAGGGAATTCTCTGCCTTGTCCAGGTGGGGGAGGATGATGTCCTGTGTTCCAAGTATGATCTTAGGTACTTGGGTGCAATGTGATAAACACCATTAAGACCAAAGCAAGAAGGACAGGGTGACCACAGAGGTGTGATAATGCTCTCTGTGGGAGAACACGGACACAAGGGGCCTTAATTTTTAATATTCTGTGTTGTTTTTCTGGTGAGATGGGAACCCTGATGGATGTAAGGCAACACCTTCTCCAGCTTAAGGTGATCTTGATCTCCTTGGCACGTTCTTTTTTCAAGTGTGCTGTACAGCAGTGAGCATCCCACTAGGTGTGAGTGCATCATGCACTGCTTACTAAAATCTTCCATGCAGAGTAGCAGAGAGGGGGTAAGTAGATGAAGTGTGGCTTCAGGTGTAGTGTTACATGTCACTGGGTGTCCTTTAAGGATAGTAACTTTGAAATTTTGTTATATCTTTGTAATGCTACAGCATGGGTTATAGTTGTGGTTTCAGTGCTTTTGCCAGATAACCTGTGATCTGTCTGACAGCAGCTCAGAGTCAGGGTGGTGCTGACTTCCTGAGGGCAGGTTGGGGGTCATGGTTCAAATCAGCTAGATTAGATATTGGGAAGAAATTCCTCCCTCTGAGGGTGGTGAGTCCCTGGCACAGGTTTCCCAGAGAAGCTGTGGCTGCCCCATCCCTGGAAGTGTCCAATTTCAGGTTGGACGAGGCTTGGTGCAACCTGGTATAGTGGAAGGTGTCCCTGCCCATGGACTAAATGGGAATGAGATGATCTTTAAGGTTCTTTCCAACCCAAACCCTTCTGTGATTCTGTGATCATTAGCTGGTGTCAGTGCCTGAGAGTTGAGGTCCCTGCTCGGGGCTCTCCATCGCTGTGCTCAGCACCTTCATCCCAGGAGTGGGCAGGTGCATCTGTAAAGTATTGGATGTCAAACATCAGTGAGTTTTACAGGTCCTGTAGTCCTTTGGGGTAGCTGATGCTTCCAGAAGGGAAGCACCAGAGAAGGAGAAGATCCCTTTACATACAAACACACTACACAGATGATGATGAATGTCAGCAGAAAAATGAAGGATGGTTGTTTTGGGGAGCAATCTGTTTCAGTGAGAAGACTTGAAAAAGAAGGCTGGTGGATAATGACAAGCTCATTTTTCCAGCTATTCCCCTGAGCCATGTAGTTGGGATTTAGTGGTGCACACCCATTGCTGCAGAGAGCAGCTCTACTCATTACAGGCTTCAGAGATCACCAGGATCTTCAGCAGAGATTTTTTTCAGCTTTCTGCCATTATGCTCGAATAACAGGATGTCTTTTGTCCTGAAGGACTGCTGGAGCTGTCGC